AAAAATGATTAAAGGTTTAGAAGACATAAGCTATGGGGGAAGTTTGAAAAAGTTGGCATTGTTTAGTCTGGAGAAGAGACAAATGATGTGGGACATGATACTTTTCAAGAGCGTAAAAAGTGGTTACAAGCCGGTTATTCCTATTAACTTCTGAGAATAAGATAAAAGCTATGGCAATATATACAGCTTGTGGGGTGTATCTGGCTCACCAAACCTTTGAATCTGACCCACCACAACCTTCAGGCAGGCTCCCTGTCTGCCATTCCCCTGCATGCCACGCAATGGGAGTTGGCTGTGTTGTGCATAAGGGGTTGTGTGCAGCGTTCAAAATCCCCCATCCCACCACGGGGCAGATGTTCCAGAGATGCACGTGGCCCCAGCAGCTGGCTGCTTTGAGCAGTATGTGGGGGCAAGGGATGGTCCTTCTGGGGCTGCTGTCTAGGAGCTGCTTAGAGCAAGCACCTCTCAGCCAGAGCCTGCACCTAGCACCCTACTCTCTTCCTCGCCCCAACTCCCTGCCCCAGGTCACTACCCAAATCTTCTGAACCTCCTCTTTCACCCCTGCCCCTGGTCACAGCTCTCTCCCAGATCCTGATCCCCCTCTTACGCCTCTCTCCCTGTTCAAATTCCTCTTCTGCACCCACCTAACTGTCAGGGTAGATAAGCAGTAGAATAAATGGTTGAGGGATGTTGTGGAATCTCTGTTTTGGAAATTTTAAAGAACAGGTTAGACATATACCTGTCAGGAATGATCTAGTTATTACTTAGTCCTGAATGGAGTGCAGGGGACTAGACTAGATGACCACTTGAGGTTCCTTCCAGTCCTATGCAGCTGTGATTTTATGACTGTAATGCCAAAGCTGACTTCAGCTTTGCAGAGTGTAGTGGGATATGGTGAATGGAATTGTGGGAAATATATATTTTTAGCATAATTCTCCAACATTTTAGGTATGTAATGTATGTTATTAAATGCATGGTATTTAATACCTACTAATGTGGTGTATACTATGCATGACACATTGTAGGAATGTGGGCCTGGCTGACTTAAATGAGGGAGAGGCCTTTTTATCAGGGAGGCCGGGGGGTGGGAGGGTGAGGCGGAAGAGAAGAATAGGGAGGTAAATTAATTAGCAGTCCTAATTCTTATTCAGCCAATTGTTAAGAGAAGTAATGGGGGATAATGTTGATGTTGTTGCCACCTTCTTATTTGTATTATGTCTTGAAAGGGAAAGCAGGCATTCACATGGCACTTTTGTAGCTGCCATTGCAAGGTATTTACATGCTAAACATGTATAAGACCAGTCCAGACTTCATACTATTCCTGGGCCTAAAACTTGAAAGTATGTAGGAAATCTGTTGATACCAGAGTGGCTTTACCTCATCTTTTCTGTAAATGTGTCAAATAAAGAGACTACGAAAGACAGGATGATATTCAATTAAAATACAACATCAAGAGACAGGCCAATAATGGGAATTCTTTAGATTGTAAACTTTTTTGGGTTGGAATTCCCTTATTTTTAGCACAGTTTATGCATCCATAAATTATATTTACGCATCCATAAATTATATTTAAATTTATGGGAAAAGTCAGTTGCAATTTCTGCTCCCTTACTAATGAGGAAACATTGGTGCAGATCTCTGGTATATGTGCCTTTTAATGCATTGGTCATGAACTGGCCATAAGTCATGTTACTTCATTACAAGAAAGTAGATCTGGAAACATTATTATAAGCATAAGTTAATAGTGTCACTACCTTAAATAACTTTAACCATTTGCAACTGTTTAGTCACCAGAGAGGGGCCTGGCTCTATGGGCCTTTGTGCATCTGTCAACTAAATCAGAGCTCTCAGTGAAGAATCTAGCATTCATGAGAATTATGTGCATTTGGGACACTCCCTAGAGAACTGGTTACATAGACTAGATTGGAATGTAAAATTCAATGTTCATCTTTGACAGATACAGGGCTTGCCTTAGGGAAAATGGCACCCTGGGTGAACTTGCATTTTGGTACCCTGATCCCTGTGGGCACGGTGCCCCCCACTGTCCATGGCCCCCCATGGGCATCCCATCCTTCCTTCCCTCTTAGCCCCTACACTGGGTGCCACATTCATTCCTAATCCATGCACTTCCCTCCTGAGCCCCTAATTCCTGTATTGTGTTTGCCCCCTTCATCCCAACCTCTGCATTGCCCTCATGTAGGTCAATCCCTGCACCCCATTCGCTCCTATTTATGAACCTTTCTCCTGAGCCCCTAACCTCCTCATCCTGCTTCTCCACCCATGAGGGGAAACTGACCTGGATGCACAAAGCAGCTGGTATTGCTGCTCACTGCCCCACTGGACTGCTGCTTCTCTGCCCTGTGAACCCTATGGGGCTGTGAGTGTGGGAGCAAGAAGCAATGTCAGAGCTCCCTGTATCCAGGTCACTTTCCTTTCCTGAGCTGCGTAAGAAGAGGGCTGCAGCAGCTATTGATGCTCCAGCACAGCCCAGGTGTCAAAGTGATGACCTGATTCAATACAGGAAACCCTGGTGATGTGTGTTGGGGGCATCTTTGTGAGGGGAGTGTGTGTGCACCTGAGAGAGTGTATGAGTGTGCAGACTCTTTAAGAAAGTACTCAGAGTAAGGAGCCTGGAGGAGGCTGGTTCAGACACAAACAACAGCCAGGACCTAGAGATGCAGCAGCACATACAGATTCGTAGGCGCTGCCTTCCCTTCCAGTTGCGGGGTGCTCAATCTTTGCTTTACCACTGGTCCAGCCCTCACTTTGCCCCTTCCTCTAAGCCCCCGCCCTGTCTCCTCCCCCAAGTGTGGCACTTCTATGCTCCTCTCCTTCCTCCTGTACAGTCCTGAATGTCACAAATCAGCTGTTCGTGATGTTCTGGAAGCGCTGGGAGGGCTGGTCAGCAGGGCCACCAGAAGGTGAGAGGCACGGGAGGCGGGGGGATGGAGGCAGAGGGAGAGAGCTTGGCTGCCAACAGGTGCTCTGCACCCATTAATTTTTCCCCATGGATGCTCCAGCCTTGGAGCACTTACAGAGTCAGCACCTTATGCACAGATTTGCCCTGTCCCATCACCCTAGTTTAGAGGAAATCTGGTACATGGGTATGAGGATGAGGGACACCGTAACATCAGCCCAGCAGAGGGGAGGAACTCTTAGTCTGGAGTAGCCAGGGGCAGCTCTGTGGAGGTAGAGATGGGTAGGGACAGGAACAGTAGTGACTGCACACATGGCACAGGAAAAGGGAGGTACACCCCTGCTCTGGAGGAGTCACCGGGTTCAGGTGGCTGGCTGTCTAGTTGCCCCCAGAAGCTTGAGTCTCTTTCTCCCCCGCCCCCTCCAATGCCACTTGCCTGCCTGCCGCCTCCATCAGCCCAGCTGGCTCTCTGCAGGTGAGGTGTGAATCCAAACCTTGTGCATGTTGCCTTCTTTGGCAGGCCATCCAGGGCAGGGATTCCTATGGCCCACCCTGAAGACAGGATCTGGACAGATATAATCCTGCTCCACTTGTATTCACATTACGCAGAGCAAAACTGTACTCCTTTTCTTCAGACCTGCGTGTGCCATAGAATTAAGTTATAGGGTGTGCCACTGCTGGGCTTCAATCTTTCCCATTATCTTCTGTATTTCCATGCAGTAATAAGACCATAACGTGACAATAATAATGTGGGAGAGAATAGCAAGTTTTCTTGTTGTCTGATGAATTCAGTATGTTCTGTGACTGCTTTAGATCAAACTAATAGCTGAATCAATGAGAGCAGAGAGGGATTCCTGGTAAACCCTCTGCTGCAGGAATCCTGCCCCTGCAAGGCAGAGCAGGATTCCCTGGGACCCAGGCCAAGGAGGAGCTCTCTGGGATGAGTCACTTGGCTGCTCAACTGATCGTGCTGTCTGACCTGCAGAGCATGCCCCCTTAGGTGGTGCACTTCAGTGCATTCCCATGTGCTACAGAGGGATGATCTCTAACAATCTGTGTGGATGGGAATCTTCCTGCCTTCCCCTCCCTTCGTGTATTAGCCCTTAAACTGTATGCTGTTTTGCTTACTTTTTTAGCTGTCAGGATGTGCAGACTCCTTGAACAGTTTTTTTATGTATTGGTTTGTCTAATTTGGGGTTTTTTTTTGAGAGAGACAAGGTGGATGATGTAACATCTTTTATTGGACCAACTTCAGTGCGGGAAAGAAGCAAGATTTTGGTCTTCCAGGAGGCTCATTGTCTTATTAGTTTAGATGATCTAAGGTAATTATTAGGACAGAATTTTTTAGCTTTGCAAAAGATAAGCAGTGAGTCCCTTTCCCTATGGGATCAGTTGAATGAAATGCTTGAAGGCGATTATTCTGTCCAGGAGCTTAGCTCACGAGTATAGAAAGTGTTTAAAACATTTTTATAATGAAACTAGTGAAATGCACTACACAGTTCAGCACAACACCAAGGGTGAGATTTTATCCTGTGCTTCTTAGACCACCCTATGCCTATTGCTACTGATAGCTATTCAATTTTTCAAAAATTTCCAACCAACCACAGAAGAAATAAATAAAGGAGATAAGCATCTAGAAGAAAGAATATTGGCTCTCAGCCTTTGGTGGGCTAGCGCAGTGGTCAGAACATCTGGAGAGAAGAGATGGGATCACATGCCACCTTTCTGCTTTCTTAGTCCTGAGACTTACCAGAGTCTGAAGTTGCTATGGCACAAAACTGCTCTAACTTGCATTACTAGATGTAGGCTCTCAAGGAACTACTTTACTGACCAGTGCATGGGTTTGTAGTTGTTCCCCTTCAAGCTCTCACACATCTCCTCCCCAGCCTGGAATACCACCTATTCAGGATGAGGGTTGGGGGTTGGAGTTGCAGGAACATGCATGCTCTGTGAGGATTGTTATTTATTGCTGAGTCATTGTGTTTAAAATAAGAGCTACAATCTTTTTAACATTGATATTTTTTATAAAATGAGGCTTTCTGGAAGAACTTTATTGCATTTTTCTCTTCTCTTCTCAATTTAGGTTCCATTGGAACTCTTGTTCTTCCAGCAGTAAGTATTCTTTTCTGGTCATACTTGACGTTCATAGCAAATGTTCATAGCAAATGTTTATGTTGGATAACTACAGTCTCTCAATGCTTTTTTTTATTGACTTACTAGAAGATTTACCAGGCATTGTTCGCGTCCTTAACTTAAGTTTTGTTTTTCTTTATTTAAATCATTGTTCTGGGGTGGGGCTGGAGTTCATGGGTTCAATATGCAGGCTACCCTGAAGAAAGAGGCCGACCCTTACCCTTTTTCACCACGGTTGGGGCCAGGTAAGAAGTGCCTCAAAAGAGTGTAAGTTAGGTTATGGTTGGTAGATATCATTCTTCCCAACACACTGTGAATGCTAGAGGAAATAGTGCCAAAACCATTTTACATTGATTGTGTTCAGTCACAATATATAATTGCATTCTCTAGCAAGCAAATTTTCCAACTTCAAACAATGTTAGATATTGCAGAATACGCATGGACAATGAATTTTGAATTTGTAATTCTAAGTATTCACCTTGGAAACCTGATTTCAAGAGCTCTATTATCCTGTCATGGAACAAATTTTACCAAGGGCTCATTTTCAAAGGTGTTATTGGAACAGTCTTTATAGTAGGCATGCTAAGAGCCATTGAACCAAACTGTAAACCCTGTATAAAATGGAAACTAATTCAAACTAAGTGGTGCTGCAGGCCCCCATATTCACACTCAGGGTATGATTAGACTATATCCCTCTTTCGACAGGGGGATGTAAATTAGACACTTCGAAATTGCAAATGAAGCTGGGATTTGAATTTCCCGCATTTCATTTGCATAATCGCATCATGGCGCTTTTTTGAAAGAGCGCCATTTTGAAAGTAAAACCACAGTCTAGACGTGGTTCTTTCGAAAAAGCCTTCCCCTTTCGAAAGAACCGCGTCTAGACTGTGGTTTTACTTTCAAAATGGCGCTCTTTCAAAAAAGCGCCATGATGCGATTATGCAAATGAAATGCGGGAAATTCAAATCCCAGCTTCATTTGCAATTTCGAAGTGCCTGATTTACCTTCCTCTGTCGAAAGAGGGATGTAGGCTAAACACAACCTCATAGTTCCAGCACCTATATCAGCAGTTGAAGTCAATGGGTGATGCAGATGTTAAGCATCTTTGAAATTCAGGCTCCAGTAATATGTGTGTTCAATAACAACAGTTAAATGTGACTGATAAATATAAAATATTTTAAGTAACACTCACACTGAGCAGTTTGTGAATTGTGAGAAATCCATAGGTTGCAATATATTTGCACAAAACATTCATTCAGCAAATAGACTAAGAATTGCAGCCCATTCTTGGATAATTGGTTCCAGGAAGCATTAGATCTAAAAATGGCTTTGATGAGGAGTCTGTAGAGTTCAGCAAGTCTCTAATTACTATCTGAAGCTAGGATAACTAAGGCTACGATTTTTTCATGGTTATTTTTAGTAAAAGTCACAGACAAGCCATGGGCAGTAAACAGAAATTCTCTTGAGTCTGTGACTGGTCCCTGACTTTACCAAAAATAACTGGGAGGGGGCCAGGGCTAGTTTGGGAGGGGAAATGGAGTCCCATGGTGGGGGGCGGTGTGTGATGGGCCAAACTCCTGTCATGGGTATGTGTGGGAGGCACAGCTCTAGCTTCAGTGGCTGCAGCAGGAGGTGTAGCCATGGAGGGCACACAGCCCCCATTCCAGAGCTGGCAGGGTGAAGAAAGGATACACTAGGGATGCCCAGTGGTGCCACATGCACATAAAGGAACTGAGGCGGTTGTACCAGAAGACAAAGGAAGCAAATGGACAATCTGGATCGTTGCTGCAAACATGCCACTTTGATGTAGTGCCAGCCCGAGCCCTTTTGGTGCCCTGGGCCCAGGCGCACAGCGCTGCCCCCAGGCGCAGGGCACATGCGCGGGCCGGCCATGGCCGCTGGCGCGCAGCCCGGGGCCCGCCCCTGGGGCACATGGCACATGCGCTGCCCAGCCCAGCCCAGCCCGGCCAGTGCTGCTGGCACACGTGCCGGGCTGTGCAAGGCCTCCAGCCGTGGGGGCAAGGGTGCTGCTGTCCTGCGCCGCAGGGCCGGCGCTGCGGGAGCCGGGCATGCGGCTCCTGATGGCAGCTGTAAGGGACGCCCCTTTCAGCTGCCATCAGGTGCCCCCCGTGGTTTGCGCCCTGGGCAGCTGCCTGGCTCACCCATGCCTCCGTCCGGCCCTGAGCCCAGGGCGGGGGGAGTGCATAGTCCTAGGAAGCTGCAAAGGATGCATGGCCAGAGCTGCATCCCCCTGGCAGAAGCCACTGGTCAGGGTGCGTGGCCCCAGATGCAGCCCCTGGCGAAAGGCATGGATGGGGCTGGAGCACGTGGCCTCAGTGCCACTCCCTGGTGGAAGCTTCATGGCTGGAGTTACAAGGTCCTGTTTCCAGTCAGCCCCAATTACAGGTCAGGGGCACACAGTCCTGCCTCTGTCTCCTAAAGCATAGAAGTCACAGAAGTCCGGTAAATCGTAGCCTTAATTATAACTAATTAGTTCTTTTGAGGGATTTTTTTTCAGTTGCATGGCTACAGTAGTCAAGCATGTTACTTACAGTATAAATGTCTGGTAACACAATCTGCATAAAATGTTACTATTTTTGGTTGTCATATTTTCCAAAAGAAACAATGACTTCATGGGCTCAGATGAGAGCCCATGATAGTAACTGATGTGGTTTACAGCTGTGCTTGATATGTGCCTGACTATTATTGCTGTTATTGTTAAGAAAAAGAAAGCAAAAACGAAGGCCATGCTGAGAGAGAATGCTTAGTGTCATGGCTGGGAAGGAGAGAGTAATGTAAACGTAGAGTGTAAGTGGGAAAGCACATAATAAACTCCTACTGGTACCCCTTAGAGACCAAACTCTTGTTTGGTCAGGAAATACCTTTTTAGAAGTAGCATTTTATGAAACTGAAAAATTGGAGTGACTGGCTACCATTATTTTAGCTGTGATTTCCCGAGCTTGTGGTCGCTGTAAGCTGAGAAATGTGACCAAAGATTCAAGTTAACTTTAGCAATACAGTTATGCTGCCTCATTTCCCTACTGCTGGTTTTATAATTCTGATAACTTATGACATCAGCATCAAAAAGGATGAAATAGGCAAGAAAGTGACAGGAGGAAAAAAATTTTTTTTCAGGACATGTTAGCGTTATTGGGAAGTCAAAAAGATGATAGAGCAATCTTTCTGGTTGCCATTACTATTATTAACAAAAATCTATAAAACAATATTTGGAAATTGCAAATGATCCATGTGGATTTTTCAGTAAAAACATATACCAAATCCTTGCAAGTGTGCTCATATAATAATTGTAAGGAATATTTTCATTTGCTATGGTAAAAAAGAGCATGCGTTTTATTTGGTTTATTCATTGTTTTGAATGCTCTTAATATTTCTTGAACTTTTTGATGTGGGTTCTTGCCTTTATTCACAGAGTGCATCTACACTGCACCATTATGTTGAGATAACTAGCATTATTTCAAAATAACAATGCGAGTGTCTACACAGCCATTCTATCATTTCAAAATAATTTTGAAATAACAGACAGCTTATTTCAAAATCTGTAAACCTCATTATATGAGGAATAACGTCCATTTCAAAATAGCTATTTCGAAATAAAGTGTGCATAGATGCTCCACTGCTGCTATTTCGAATAGCCCTCCACCATGGCCATTCTAAGTTATTCCTCCCCAGGGCCTCCTAGGGCTCTAAATCAAGATAGCACATCTACACTAGGGAAGCCTGCCTCGGACTAATTTTGAGGATTCCCTGCAGTGTAGCCAGGCTATTTTGAAATAAGTTATGTAGATGTTCAGTGTAGACGTACCCACAGTGAATACCCCTCATTGAATGCATTTACATATTCAGAAATTTAACTCTTTATATTTGGCATATTGAGCCAATTTTTTGACCAAAGTTATAAAAGGGGCTGTGTCCCTTTAGTTAACTTTTTCTAGAACATTTGGTCATGAAGTGTTAGAGGCTTAGAAAACATGAATCATATGTTAATGGCAGTGGCTACGTCTACACTGGCCCCTTTTCCGGAAGGGGCATGTTAATTTCAGCGATCGTAATAGGGAAATCCGCGGGGGATTTAAATATCCCCTGCGGCATTTAAATAAAAATGTCCGCCGCTTTTTTCCGACTTTTAGAAAAGCCGGAAAAGAGCGTCTACACTGGCTCCCCCCCCCCCCCACAA